TTTTTTCAAATCAAAATAGTGCAAAAGCACATGTCGAAAAAACACTTTATCGCGTTCCATTTTTCACAAAGCAAAAGAAATTGTTGTTTAGGAAAATAATTGTGTATGCTGACTGAATGTTATCGAGAAATGTCGAAATTAATCACAAACTACCTGTTTCGTTAGTAATGACTACTAGAACTGTTTGCATTGCCATCTAACATTTGCGGGCGGAAACTAAGTTAAGGTCCTAATACATACAACTGCAAACAACCATCCATGATCTCTTTTCCTAAAAAAATTACCTTATCAGCAGCAACTGCGTTATTAATAATCTCACGATATTTTTGTAAATTGACAGTAAACTGTTCTGTCAAGCGAGAACTTGGTATTCTCTTCCAACGTTCTTTGAATTGATCTCGTAGTTGATTATCAGATTCACGTTCTTCTTGCAGCATTCTTTCAGACTATAAGTAAATAAATAAATGTATTAACAAGACGCGTATACAAGCACCTAGGCACTTGTACACATACATGCGCGGCTATATCCCAGACAGCACAAATGTCTAAAATATATCTTAGAGACATCTTGAAAACATCTGAAGCAAATAGGATAACATTTAGACGTCTCTTGGATATCTTTTAGATATTTATGTTGTATAGAATATATACACGTGTAATATACAAAATAGCTTTAAAGAATATTTTTACCTCGTCCAGAAGTTCTTTATTACGTTGCAACAAATCCGGCAATTCTTTCATGGATGCTTCCAAAGCTCTTATTCCACCTGCATCTCGTACGTAACACGCTTTTTCTAAGAGCGATTGAGGTATTTCCGTTCCACTAGTGTCTTCTATAGCTGCTGGTAGATTCAAACTTGCCAAAACGCTGTACACATACAATTGAGTGATTAGTTACGAAACGTTGACAACTTGACAATAAGTTGTTATTTTACGCATGTACCTATTTAGAAGTTGAGTCATTTCACGTAAATTCGAAACTTCGTAATTGACAAGTTCATTACGACGTGTTTCATAAGCTGACAATGCATGGTGTATACCAACAGGCAGTAATTCAGCAAAGAGGTCTATAAACATATATATCACAATTTATTTTATACATGAAAATAAAATCATTATCACAAACCTTTAAAATTAGAACTGAATGTTTCAGGAAGTGGAAGTAATTTGGCGACAGTAGCTTTTCCTATCGCTTCCAAATTCTTGACGTCTGGAATTCTTTCATGATATATAAAATCATTATCCTTCTTCACTTCCGTTAAATTTCTCTGTGCTTTGTTAGCATAGTCTTGGAATAAATTAGGCTTGTTTGATCTCTCTTGAGCAGCTTTGAATAGCTCCACAGCATACTGAGAATATTAATATGCTACTGTATAATCAATAAATAATATAACATAATAAATAATATAATATAAATAATATTATTTAAATAATATAGTAATAAATAATATAAATAATATAATAATAAATTAAATAAATTTACAAGAGATTGCAGTGGAATTTTACTGATATTGTAATTACCTCTAATCTGGCAATCTCTTCTCCAATCATTTTATTGTTTTTGCATACAAGCGACTGATAATACTCTGACATAGCACGATAACCAGCTTGTTTACCTGCTATCTATAATAATATTTATATTTATAATAATAATGTATACGCAAGTATAAATGAAATAAATACGTTTCAAGGATCTTTTTACGCCCGGTCTTTCATTATTTCATTAACCTATATTTTAGACTGTAGGACTGTGACACGTAGAAAATTTAAGCAATAAAATATAAGCAGTATAAAAATTAACCAATCACAGTTAATAATTCTTTAACCATAGTAAGAATAATCGATTATCGATTATTATTTGGATAATTTGGTAAGAGTTCCGTATCCGACCCTCCTCTGATTTTAGTGAAATTTTTGCTACGTACACGTAGCATTTATTAAATATAGTCGAATGTCACAAATGCGGATATGCGGAAACGTCTTATTTCCAAGATATTGCAACCCGAAATATTTTGTAATTATGTGATTATATAATTTCTTAGATTGCTATGTAAAAGAAGACTAGAATTTGAAAATATCTTGCTAATATATTTTATTTTATTAATATCTTATAAAATTATAAGTGTTATAAGTTTGTGTGTTATAATAAAATATATAAACAATAGAAATATTAAATATATAAACAAAACAAGAGAAAATATACAACTATTTTTTTTTATAAAGGATAAGCGTTTCAAATAGCACAAAGAAAATCTTCAAAAGGATCTATATTAGTTTTACGAACAAATCGCCGTCATTGATATTCAACATAATAATTGGCAAAATATTCGTCATTTACTAATCTGCCACGAAAAAATATCCGCATTGGTCGCCATACTGATTCGATGCGATTTGTATGAATTCCTTTTGCAGTAATATATTCTTTCTTATAACTAACTGTCTGATGCAAATAATGATAATCATACTGAGACAATGCACAATATGCCTTCCAATAATCAGTTCGAATTATAGTACTAGGAGCCACATAATTTTTAATAAGAGGAACAAGTATTTGTTCTCATTATTAGGACATATTTCAAGACGAAAGTCTTCACCCTCGATCATTTCTAAAAGCCAGTCCCAGCCAATACAGATTATCCAAGAATATTCCGGAAAATGCTATAAATCGTCCTAGAGGAATATTCTGAAATAAAGATTCTAATAAATATTCTGAAATAAATATTCTAATATTGTTATAGGAATATGAATCTTCTCTGTAATGGTACTTGAAATATTCGTAATTGAATAATATTATGTATTCTGTATGGAATATTATTCGAATGTGATTTTTGAAATATTCAAAAATCTTGTATACTGGAATATTCGGAAAATAATCTTGTAAGCATATGTGGTACGGGATATACTCATTTTCATATATTGAAAAGTTTGAAGGAGCTAATTGAAAATTTTTACTCTGTACTAAATTCGATACATTAATAAAAAATACTTTGAAAACGAAAAATACTTTGAAAGCGCTCAAAGCAAACGACACATGTACCATTATAATAGTCGTTCTCATCAGTTAATAGCAATGGCTCAGTAGGTAAGGCAAGTTCCTCAAGAACTAAAGATCTCAGGTTCGAGTCCCACTGGAGTCAGCGATTTTTTCCAAGCAAATTAATAAATGGAATTAATTAAATGAAATACCATTATAAAAAGATTGCAATAACATAACTAGAATCACATTAGCAACCACAACAAATATTCTAGAATTAAAGATCTTCTTTTTTATTTAACAACTTTTCTAACAAACTTTTTTCAAATGTGTAGAATATTCCTCGATCGAAAATTAAATCATGCATAGAATATTCTATGAATATATGTGGGAATATTCCCGATGAATATTATTAGAATATTTAAGATAGTATCCTTTTGAAAACAAAAATATTCCCAGAATATTTATCTTCTTAAAAGAACTTTCTACGAATATTCAAATCTTCCTACTGGAAGATCGGAAGATATTCCAGGAACGAATTTGTGCTGGCTGGAAGTGACTTTCTACACATCGTCTACGATGATATTTACGACGTCCAAATTTAGCTTCGTCAACTTGTACAATTTTTTACTGGAACTACCTATTAAACTTTTATTTATTTAGAGGCCAATATAATGATCAACAATGACCTCTCGACAATAATTGTACTAATCGGCTACAGTTTCCCTAGAAATTGTGGCATTTTCACGAACAACTTCCCTTATTGCATCCTCGTAACTTAGCTTTGACATCCACGTATATATTAATCGAATGATAATTTCAATGGGTAATCGATACCCATCAAACCAAATATTATATAAAGTTCTTCTCCCACTATAGATGAGTGAGAAATTTTAAATTTAGGAGGATTGCAGAATTGACCAAAATAATCACGATGTATATAGGATGTCATATTCACTTGATGACGCCGACAAGTTATACGGCTGAAGTAGTTGATGATCTTGTGCACATCGAATAGCTGTATCTCTATCTAAAACGGCATACCGCTCAAAATAATGCCAGCTTCAATTAGTTATTGTATAAGTTAAGTAGTTAATAAAATAATCTTTATATTCAACAAAAAAAAATTATTCGAATTCTACTTATATATCCAACTCCTGCTGATTCACTTCTCTACATAAGCTTTATAACGAACTTCTAGGCCTATTCTGTAACTTCTAACGACAGTGCTGTTAAATAACTTTGAAATATTTGTTTACTTTTGTATGTTTATATTTCTTTTTGTATGTTTATGTTTATATTTCTTTATATTTCTTATATTTACATCTATTTGTTATTGTGCTAGTACACTTCAATATATAATAAATATGTGAAGACCTTTGTACAAAGTGAAAACGTAACTGATATAACGCCTAAATCTTTCGCCTTATTAAATTGGTCAGTCTATTATACTAAAATACCAGATTCAAAAAAGATTAACAAAGATCTCTATGCAAGGTGTAAACGTAACGTCCAAATTTTGCCCTATTAAATTGATGAGTTCTTTGCTTTTCTACGATATTTTTCATTATCTCGAATATCGGTTAATATAAGAAAAAGGGAAACGAAGTTTCTCGTCGAATAATTAAAATTGAATTTCTCGAAAATGAGACGTTTCCGCATATTCGCATTTGTAACATTCGACTATATTTAATAAATGCTATGTGTACGTAAAATTTCATTAAAATCGGACGAGAGTCGGATACAGAACTTCAGCCGACAATTTTCATACCATTTAACTTACTATTTAAGTTTTACTTACGTCTTATTATTTAAGTTTTTGTATATACCACGGCCTAAAATCTAGACCACAAGTTAATCGGAGAATAAAAAACCGAGTTTTAGTCTACTAACCAGAGGTACCCATTCTTTATCCCAAAATGCACGAAAGATTTCTTTCTGAAACATTTTTAAAGCAACCGCATACAATTCTTCTGCTTGTGCCGCTAATTTAGCGACAATACCGTCTTTCATAGAATCATGGATTGCTTTGTACACAAATATTTCTTGTGCTTGTGCGAGCATTAATGCACTTAACGCGCCAAGCGTTTCTGGACTAATGTCAGGTGTTGGTTCTTGTTGAATTGCTATCATAACAGCTCCTTTCAAGAAATTAAATATACTAGCCGATTGCTAAAATAGGAAGAAATTAATCAATTAAAGCATAATCGATGTGTTAAAAATCCCAAATAGCACTAGATGTTCTGAAGTCATTCTGAAGCACTCTCGAAGCATTTTAGATACGTTCGGGATGATTGTGGAATATATTGTGCTATTTGGAATGTTATTAATATGTAGAAAAATTAACCTGAAATAATTTAGCCGCCAACTTTAATCCTTCGTCACTGTCTAATGATTGCATAGCAGCTACCGAGCTTTGCAAAGCGGCGATATTGAAGAGAACGCATACTTTTTCATATGCCAATGTACTAATTGCTGTTAATAATAATAATATGAATTCAATAACGTAAGCTATAGCTATACACTATTTGATTAAACTTTATATCACTTTTATCTTATGTATTATTTTGTCATGCACTCTTTGTTTAAAAATTATGATAAGTCTTCTTGTAGCGCTTTTCTATTGAATATTCAAATGTTGAATGTGTAATAATTTAAGAAATTTCATGATTGTATGTAACAAAAAATAAGGGTAATGGGGATAATGTAATAAAAGATAAAATTGTTTTTTTCTAAATACTTACTTAAACTAAGTTTTCCACCAAAAATTGTACGATCAAAAGCATCTTTCCATTTGAATGGTATTTGCAATTCATGAGCTGGGATTTTTCCTTCCAAAGCACATAACTGATCATAATAACTATAAACAAACACATACATACAAGATATCAGTACAAGATTCAGTACAAAATATCAAATAAATCGTAAACTATTCAAATTCACATAAAAAATATCAGTATAAAACGAAAAATATCTCGAAAAATATCCATTTTTTGGTAAATCTACTCGAATACTTTTATACGCAGAATAATCAGAAGAATTAATTTGTTAGAAAAACCATGTTTCCATATAATTTTAATAAAAAAATTTTAAATGACTTTAAAATCTACATATTTTTATTCACAAAAGAATCATTGTCACTGCGTTACATCTCCTTTGAAACTATAAAACTTTTGTATACATTATTTTGTTATATTGTTTGAAATAGTAGAAATATTTGACGTGGATGGTTATTGCCCTATATTGTATGCAGAGTGTCCCAGACTATCCTCCGCATATTTTGGGGAAATATAGAATTGGTCGAGATGGACGGTATAGACAAAGTCCATACCGTTTTGAGATTGTAACAACCGTACTCCGCGGGCCGGTTGTTGTCGGTACCAAGGGATTATTTGCTCGCCGGAATCCGGGTTCGTGAAATAAGACAACGCGGATTGTAATAAATAAAAATAACAAAAAGGTTTATTGGGCCTTCGTACAGAGTAATCGTGTGTTAGTGTACAGTTCTCCTGGGCGACGGCGCCAGTTACCGGGTCGCGGTTTCGGTGTGCCGCGGCAGTTAAGACGGTAGGCGGAGCGTATAGCGCGAAGGCTAGACTCACCTCGGATATTCGGCAGGCGGTCGCGTATTGCGGTTCGGCGGTCGCGATTCGTGCGCGGCTCGCGTGGTCGATCGTGGGGACCGCGCGGTGTCGGCGATATCGAATCCGTGTCCCAGCACGGCATGTTTTTGCATTCTTGGTGGAGACGCGCTCGCTTGCACGCCTGTGTCGCAGGTGACGAGATGGGGAATGAGTAGTCGATGTATCGGCGTATTCACCCCCGATCTCGCCCGTCGAGAGGCTAAGAACAAGGGTCGAGAAAGCTCGACAGAGCGCAGCTAACGTACTGGCTTCGGTCCTTGCTCGCGAGAATGTGATCCTAGGTAGACTGAGGAGACAGATACGAGTCGGTCGTAGGCCTTGCTCTCCGCTGTGTAGCATCGAGTTTGGTTGACGGTCCGGATCGGTCTGGTCCTGATTAATTCGGCGTCGCGGATTATATACTCGACGCCGCTTTGTCTCCGCTCGCTGTGCACGTGGTTGTCGCGTGCCCGTGGCGCTCGTTCTTGATCGATTCTTTTGTGTTATTGCTGTCGCGTTATCGCGTGTTCTTCGCTCGCTTTGTTTCCGCGTATTGTCTGACGTTTACGCGTGTTGTGTAGGCCTTACGGCGTTGTTGGCGCAACGCGCCGGTGCACGGCCCGACTGGTGGTCGGTCGGGCCGGATTAGTGACGATGTCAGTGTGCATCGTCACAAGATATTCGCAATAATAACTAAGAAATTAATTGTAAAAAATTAAGGAAAAACGCACGCTGAATGGTTGAGGAAAGAGTGCTTGCGGCCTAATAATATAGCGCACGGATGTCGATACGCGGTGATTGGAAAAACGACGCACCATTGCCTATACTTATATTGCTGCGCTCCTACTGGCACGGTGCGGCAAGATGTAGGATCATAGCGATATGTCACGCGCTGATATTTGCTTGCTATATTACTGGATCGCGAGCGCTCCTCCCTCAACCATTCAGCATACGTTTTTCCTTAATCTTTTACAATTAATTTCTTGGTTATTATTGCGAATATCGCAAAACAGTATAGGACTTTTATGTTTACCTCGACCAATTCTACATTCCTACAAAATATGCGGAGGAGAGTTTGGGACACTCTGTATATATATACAAAGTATTTCTTAAATACTGTCCAAAGTTTTGAGAATTGATTTTTAAAGAGATTTTATGAAGAAAAATTGGCGTAAACACATTGTAATGGACGGTTTACGGTCGGATGATGCTCGCCGGTGTTCCTGGGATTCGGAAAGCGAAAGTAGGTTTCGTTGAAACAATGAAATTCTGTTTGTCCAAGTCGTAGTCTTTTAATCTGCTGTGTCAGGTATTATATACAACTAGATAATTTTATGCTTATCTCGTTCGTTGAGACTGTTTACATTTGTTGAGCGTTACCCCTTGTGATGATAATACGATTACAACGCGATGCTGTGTTCGCTCTGTATATTTGGCGGTCTTTTACTTTAAGGCTGCCGACATTTTCTCATTAAAAAAGTGGTTTTTTTTTCTCAAAAGTTTTTCTGTATAAGTAATATATACATGGCGTAGAATTTTGAGATTTATGTAGAGCCACAGTGGCTTTCCCGGCCAACACACAGGAAACACACGATGAAATATAAGAAATTTTTATTTTCTAAAAAATAATGTATTTGGGGATTTTTGGTATCGCTGATACCAAATTTTGAACATAGATTTACGAAATATCGAGTCCTAAACGCAATATTGACAATATAAATAAATATAAACGTATAGATTTATGCAGTTTTTTTTGTTTGGTCTTTTAAATGTTTAATTTTTGTATTTTTTTTTATTTTTTTGCTTGTTTTATAAGTTTTTGATTTTTTATATTTTTTTGTATTTTTCAACATTTATATCTTTTAATACATTTTATGATTTTTTTTTATGTTGACTATTTTCCGTAATTATGATAAAATTTCTTTCAAATGATAATTTTTTGAAAGCAAGGTGTTATACATAATGGAGCATTACAATTAGTGCATATGTTTCGGCGACGTAAATGCGAACAAGCCCGAAGGCACCGGAGAGACACGATTTGCGAAGGCTACATACACACATATATGTTTGATACATTTAGTATTTAAAATACCACTAAAAATAGTAATATTTTAACCCACACTCAAAAGCCATCAAGTGGCTTTCCCGGGCTGCGTTCGAAAACGACACTCGACGTACTCTTCCTTTCTTTTTATCTCACTCTTGTATTTCGCTCACTACAACGCAACAGGTACACTTGGGTAATGTTTCCGAACGCAGCCTCGGCAGTCTAAAGATTAACTCGATGCTCTAAGTTGAGACGTGCAGATGAATGCGGCGAGAGGCGCTCTACATCCGAACACAAATATATCGAGTAGAGCAGATTTCAAGACTAGTAGCTAGATAATAATGACTAGATAAGTTTTTTAGCCAGTCATTAGCTCGACTGGCTAAATATTTTTACTCAGGGTGCAAACCCATGCAGCGGAATAGCGGAGCGCGGAACGAGAGCGGAACCAATCACGAGCGTTCCGCGTTTTTCAGCAGTTTTTAGCGTAATCTGCGGAATAGTTTTGTCGCAGACTGCGTAACATATGCATACTTCTATCATACAATAGACGTAACCTCAAATTAAGAAAAACAAATAATTTAGCTGGCCAAGTTTATTAATATTCAGCACAACATAACCGCTGTGCCATGAATTTAACAATGGATGCATAATATAATGTATAGTAAAAAGGAATCCATTATTTTTCCAATAGATGGCTTAGTAATGTGTATCTCGCGTTGTATAAGTACGATCGGTTTACACTAGATGGCGTTAGAAAGATAAGATTTCGTACTAAAAAAAACGTCTCAGACAGTTTTGTGATTGTTTGACTCAGTATTGTTTGAGCGCGCGTCAAAGATAGACACCAGAAAAAAAAAGAGAAAATACGCCATATTTTACAGTTTTTCTTCGATAAAGGCGAAAACGCAAGCCAGGCGGCTGAAAATGTGAATAGTGTTTATGGTCCTGATACTGTGACAGCCAATCACGCGCAAT